TGTCTTTTGTAGGAAAGAAATGGCGGACTTAGCCCTAGGAAAAAAGTTTAACATGGGAGAAGAAAAAATAGAATCTCGTCATCAAAGAGCGAGATCAGATCGGAGTGCCGATCTCTCGCTCATCTTTCTTCTCTCCGACCGCTGACACCAGAGCATCCATTTTGACGCCGCCGTCCAAAACCACCAAGTGCTTCCTGGCCGTGCTTCCTGCTCGATTGTCTTCAAGCGGCGAATAACACCAAGCAAATAAAAATCAAATTTAAAATTTTGGGAACTGGGATCTAAAATTGGAAACGTCAATCTCGACTCGGGGATTGTGCACATGGAATCTGAATTTAAGGAGAGAGGTGAAGTTCAAGGCCTGATTTTGCGGAGAGTTAATAGAAAAAATCAAGAAAGTACATTTATCCACGTTCATTCTTATTTTTTTCATAAGATCTCATATATATATATATATACTCTCTCCGTCTCAGAAAACCTTTCTCCTTTCTTTTTTCATCCGTCCCAAAAAACACTTCTCATTTCTATTAAAAAGTCACTTTTATTCATAACTTTTTCATACCATACCTATCACATCGTACCTTTTTACTAATAATCTATCCATCAAATCATACTTTTACCCATCACATCAAAGGACATTTTTGGAAATTCAATACTAAAATACACTCCCCTTAAATCTCTCTCCAAAACCAAAACTCCCATGTTTTCTGGGACGGAGGGAGTATATAGGATTGACTCCAGTCAGATGACACCTTACGGTGAGATGACATTTACGGTCAGATGGCGCAAAGCTCACTACTGGCCACTGTAAACCTCACCAAGGACAATTACAAAGCTCACCAAACTGTAAAGCAAAGCTCGCCATATTTTTACAACACTTTGAATTTTTTTTGAAAAAAATAAAATCAAAGGAATGAGTGTTGACTTGATTTTGACCGCCGCCGCCGCTGTTCTGCCTCCACGCCCCCACTACCTGCCGTCGCCAGCCACAACTGCGCCGCCACCGCTGGCCGGCACCTACCGCCGCTACTGCTCCACCGCTGGCCTCCGGACGCCTCTGCTGACCGGTGGGTGACCGGTGTTGCTATTTTATTTTTAATTAATTTTTTAGTTTTCAAAATTTAAAAAAATGAGTTTTATTGTTCAAAGTGGTGAGCTTTGCTTTATTTTCAAGTGACCTTTGTATTGGTCATTAGTCAGCTTTGCAGTGTAATGTGGTGAGCTTGGCGTCATCTGACCGTAGCATGTTATGTCACTGTAAAGTGTCATCTGAGTGGAGTCAATCCCTATATATATATATATATATATATATATATATATATATATATATATATATATATATATATATATATATATATATGACGTATGTATGTATGTATGTAAATTTTTGGTAACATGTACGTGCGTCACATTTAATAATAAGTAGTAGCAACACTTACCATTAATTAGCCTAGCATTTAATAATAATGCTTGTGTTACTGTTACTAATTTATCATAATATGGTAAGAATAATAATAAAAATAATATTTGGTAACATATATGTGCGTAACATATTAATAAATAACGTATATATGATAATAATTGCGTGAAAACATGGTATGTGTTCTAAAAAAGTGTTTCTTTGGTGCACCTTGGGTGCATATCATTTTTGTGAACTTTCTTACATTTTTTTGAAAAAACAAATCCATGGTAGATCTTAAGTCCACCATAGAATTTGCCGTTCTACAATAAATTAGAAAATAAATTTGGTAATGATAAGTATATTATATTACATTAATTACGATAATGCTAAGTAAATATAGTATTATTTAAATTACGGTATTGCTAAGTAAATTGAACTACATAAATACAAAGATAAAATAAAAATTCTACAAATTCCAAAATAAATAAAGTAATTAAAATTTTACTACTATAAATTCGGGCATTCTCAAACTCTTTTTGTCATATAAAAACGTAATTACCCTCTTTCATCTGCGTGTTGAGTTCTTGACTTCTTATTATATATTATATTATTGCTCAATTCTACCTTTCGAGTAACATGCGGTTTTTAATAGCTGTAAACGTTATTTATCAGAGGTACTCAATTATGTTGCTTAAATCATAGCGATAAGAGTTTATCATGTCCCAGCTCATGCCAGGGGACCAAAATCCTTAGATGTAATTTTTCATGATTCGGAAGCTAGTTGTTTCATTAAAATGAACCTTTAACACATATACATTCACAGTGTTGTAATGATGCTAATATATTTTCTTTTCTATTTGCATTGTCAGGGAGATCGATTATACTTACTCACATATATAGTGTATAACATAAAAATTATGTCTTATGTTTAATACTTGCAGATGTAATTGGGAAGGTTGTTAGTTGATTTACACTAGAGATTCATATGGTAAAAAAACATTTCTAAAAGGATGATGGAAGTTACATTAGAGGACCATAAGTATATAAATATCATAATTCTCATATATAATTGTCGAAATTATAAAATATGTTATGATTCATTATTTGTGTAAAAATTTGTTTTATTTTTTCAAAGGAAATCGATCAAATTGTACTTTGTGGGGTGATCATATTTATCGTGTGGTTGATTTTCTCAATCCAAAAGAATCATGGCCCCCAATTCTTTTAATGCAAATGGTGAAACCTAGGCTATACAATGATATTTGTAATATATGTTTCATTTACATGTAGTAAACATGTGACACAAACATTGATACAAATAACCATTGGTGTATCTTAAAATTTCACGAGTCTCGGTTACTATATTTTATAATGTTAGTAAAGTCTTACTGAATGAAAAAATCAAATATTGTTACTGACTTCAAAGTTAATGACACCGACATATTTTCATACCGTAAACACGAGTCGTGCAATGCACGAGGTGTGATACTAGTGTTATCAATATAGCGTTTCAAATTGTTAATATTTCTAGATTTATCTACAAAGAATTAAAACTCGAATAAAAATATAACTTACAGATAATGAAAATTAAACCAAATTTTCAAGATAAATTTATTATTTATTGGAGAAATATAATAATATTAATATTTTCGGTTAGGGATATATTAATATATGTTTGGTTCGAAATTTTCGATATGGAAAATTACCTTGTACTGTTCCCAAATACCAAAATTGATTGTTCGATACCGTACGATTTAGTTTGTTCTGATACTTTTTTAGTTTGGTGTTCTCGATTTCTTCAAAAAAAATCAGGATCGTTTTGGAACTTACTTATCCCTATCTATAATGTAAATTATACCGATGTATTACGATGTATCAGATATTTTTTTCATACTATGATGTACCAGAAGTTTTTTCCCATTTCAAAAACTAGATCCCATTCCATACTTGTGTTTAAAGACTAAGGGTCTGTTTGGTACACGAAATTGAATTAGAATTAAAATTTTATAGAATTGAATTCTCCAACACGAGTTCTTTTTTTGCAATTCTAATGACGAACTCTTATATTTTTATGTTATCAAACAATATAATTTGAATTGAAGTCTCAAATTCCTATTTCACGACTTGAATTTCATATACCAAACGACTTGAATTTCATGTACCAAGTTATTGAAAATGCCATTCCATCTAGAAAGTGATACGGAGTAACATATACGGAGTATTTATATATTCATATTCAAAAAGCTATTGCTTTACCGTGTCAAAAAAATGTGAAAAAGCTGTTGTTTTTTTATATTCTTTCTAGATGTTGTACGTTTAGTTCTCATTTTCTATTCCAAAAGGAAAACAACATATTCCTGAGGGCCCTTGAGGCCTAACCTGGACAATACGTTTGAGAAGAGGTAAATGAAACTTAAAAGTGAGCAATAAGAAATGAGATATGTTCGCAGTCCTTGCAAAGGATGTTTATGCAGAGCATAAATCTTCGCACACTTATCATAAGATCTTTTTAATATTTTTTATGTAGTTAAAAGTTAAACTAGTGACCTCTAAAAGTTTTTAACTCGTGACATTTTATTCACAAGTTTTTGATACCATGTTAAAGTAACCAATTTAACCACAAGTTCAAGATTATGATTATAAGTCTAGAAAATATTTTTAAATTTTAACAAGAACTTAACCAAAAACTTAAATTTAAACCTAAATGCTCATGGAAGTAATAGTACAAATTACTTTTTTATACTTCCTCTATATTCTACTCCTATTTTTGTAATTACTTTTTTATAAACGAAAAGTATAAGTTCTAACGAATATTATTTTTTTTATGAGTCATGCTTGACCCCAAAATGAAGATGTGCCCCATAAGCTTGCCCTACCGCATGTCCACATCTATTTGTTTTAATCCCCCCTCTAAAATATAATTTTCCTCACTCCCTATTTTTAGTTCTATAATAAATTTCTCATTTCTCATAAAAAATGAATTTAGTTATCCACATTGATTCTCACTTATCTGTACGATAGAAATCACCCTAAATAGGACTAAAACACAGAGACAAGTATCAAAATAAGACTTTCATGTTTTTTTCAAAATAAGACTTCGCACTGTAGTAATGTGATACTATACATGTGCACCTTACTATACTTTTTAATAATGTACATGACCATGTTTGGTAATGTAAATGCATATTTTAAATCCTATTTCAGGAATAAAAATATGAAAGTCTTATTTTGATATATTTGCAATATTTTAGTCCTACTTTAGTCTCTCTCTCTGTATAAATCTCAACTAAACAATTTCATCTTTTCTTAAACTATAAACTCCCTTTGTATGAAAAAACAGTTTCAGTTTCATTTTCTACATATCCCACAAAACACTTCTATCTTCATCTAAAATGTCTAAAATAAAGACACCTCATTTCTTCTTTATTGCGGGTAAAAGTCATTTTGGAAATACTTTAGACATTTGAGATAGGGTAAAAGTGTTACTTGGAATGCACAAAAAATGGGAGTGAAACTATTTTCTCAAACGAGCATAAAAATATATGATGTGAGAACTTTACTTTAGGATACTCCACTTTTGACAATTGATGCTACGAGACCCAACTACTGACCACCCCTTTTGAAATCACACACACTTGACACTTCAAACATATATTTTGTGTGTTTGCCAAGCTCTTTCCAACTATAAAAGGGGGCCATCATCCATCTCAATTCATTGCAGTTTAATACAAGATGGTGTTTGGTGTCATGTTAGCTGTTCCTTTTTCTGCAGTATTCTTGGTATGCATATGGAGAGTAGTAAACTGGGGTTGGATTAGGCCAAGAAAACTGCAGGCATGCCTTAAAGAACAGGGCCTTAAGGGGAACCCCTACAAGTTCATCTTTGGAGACCAAAAGGAGTTTGTCAAGAGCATCAAAGAAGCCAAGTCCAAGCCTATGAATATCTCACATGACATTTCCTCTAGAATCATTCCCTTTCACATTGATTCCATCCGAAAACACGGCAAGTTTTGTTAAATGATCCACCGGCTTTTACATTGTTGTTGTTGTTGTATTCTTGACGTGGGATTTTTATTTATAGGTGAGAATTCATTCGTGTGGCTCGGACCGAACCCGATGATATTTGTTAATGACCCTGAAGCTGTGAAGACAATCTTCACCCACCATACTGCCTTTCAAAAGCCCTCTTCCACGAATCCGTTGACCAGCTTGTTGTTCCAAGGACTTGCAACCTACGAAGAAGATAAATGGGCCAAACATAGAAAAATCATCAACCCTGCCTTTCATATGGAGAAACTAAAGGTTGATTTTTTTCAAAGTTTTTTAGGAGTTCCATTTATTTTGATTAAGTCTAATCACTTGACTCCCTTTTGGAACTACATGCTTCGTGAAATCCATATCCATTCTAAAATCGTGTCATTTAGACATCGTAATCTCTTTAGCTTATTCTTGTTACTTATTTTTTAATAATATTAGATCAGATTACATTAGATCGGATCAGATTAGACTTTAGTAAAATGATCAGATCCAGTCATAGCAAGATCCAATCATAGCATACAAAGAGAACATGCTCTTACTCGCCTAATTCACACAGTCAGATTTTGACTACATTTCTTCCATATTTTTATTCTTCAATTGAAAAAACAATGGTATTAAGACCACTTGTTATATAGAACTTCAAAAAATCTATCTAAATAAGACTAAACCATTAAACTTATATAAAGATAGGATCTTATTTGTTTGTATCTCTAAATAAGAGTGTTGACACTATACAATGTCACAACTCGGCAATGTGTGTTGGCATTTCACAGTATTTTTTGACATTATATACCGACACGTTTTGGCATTAAAAGTCTTATTTTCAAATTTATAAATTCAATTTCTTAATTTTAGACCTTTTTTCATATAAATTAAATTAAATATAGTTTCAATAAAACATAGAGAGACAGACTAAATTAGGAGTAAAACATAAAGAAAGACCCAAAATAGGACCTTCATATTTTCTTCTCAAAATAGGCACATACTCCTTTTGGTCAAAATTTTGTTGTTATTAAGGTATTGTTGTTCAAAATATATTTAGCACATGATACCTGCGATGTACTTGAGTTGCTCCGAAATGTTGGGGGAATGGGAGAAGAAAGTGGATGACCAAAAGAACATGGCTGAAGTAGATGTCTGGCCTCACCTTCAGCAACTGGGCGCTGAAGTGATTTCACGCACCGCTTTTGGGAGTGACTATGCAGAAGGAAACAAAATATTTGAACTCCAACAAGAGCAACAGGAGCATGTAATGGGACTTCTCCGCTCCGTTTACATTCCGGGTTGGAGGTAAAGTTATATCGGGATTATTCTTTTGTTTGAGCAAAAACCAATATGGGTACTCTTTGACGTACGTCTGCATACCATAATAATTATTCAGGTTCTTACCAACGAAGAAGAACAGAAGAATGAAGGAAATTAAGAAAATGGTTGAAGCATCAATAAAGGGTATAATTGATAAGAGAGTGAAAGCAAAAGAAGCAGCTGGGGAAGGCAGTAAGGGTGATCTATTGGGTATATTGTTGAAATCCAATTCCAAAGAAATTGAGGAACACAGAAACAACAAGTCTGGGATGACCTCTCAAGAGGTAATTGAAGAGTGCAAGTTGTTCTATGCTGCAGGGCAAGAGACCACTTCTTCGTTGCTTGTGTGGACAATGGTGTTGTTAAGTAGACACCAAGAATGGCAAACACGAGCGCGAGAAGAGGTTTTGCACGTATTTGGCAAGAGTAACCCTGATCTTGATGGATTAAATCACTTGAAAATCGTAAGTCATTCGATAGAGAATCACCACGACAGTTCATTCTTTATTTATTAATATAAAGATATTTATATGTATGTTCAATGTTGGATTTATGTTCTAAAATGTTAAATAGGTCACCATGATTTTAAATGAGTCTTTGAGACTGTATCCGCCAGTAACATCGCTCATGCGAAAGATTAAAAGGGAAACTAAGCTAGGGAAGCTATCGCTTCCCCCGGGAGTCCTAATCTCATTGCCTGTGATCTTATTTCACCATGACGAAAAGATATGGGGAAACGATGCAAAGGAGTTCAAACCGGAGCGATTCAGGGAAGGAGTGTCAAAGGCGACTGAAGGGAAATTGACATTCTTACCCTTTGGTGCTGGACTTCGGATCTGTATTGGGCAAAACTTTGCAATGCTTGAAGCTAAAATTGCAATAGCAATGATTCTGCAGCGTTTCTCTTTTGAGCTCTCCCCATTGTATGCTCATGCTCCAACTGCGCTTATAAGTCTGCACCCTCAACATGGTGCTCCACTTCTTTTGCGCAAACAATAATTTGTGCTCAATGACACATGTTATTTAATTTTCACGTACGCTTGAAGGATTTTGAAGTGTTCGTGATCTACCTTTCTATTTGGTGGTATCAAATAATTGTTTTATAGATAGAAGTCACTTCCTATAGGTTTTGCCTAACTAAAGGAAAATTGTTGTTTTATGTATAGAGATAAATTTTTGATGGATTTTAATCCATTAAAATATTTTACATAATGACAAGGGAGATACATTGCACGATTGTATGGAACCTACGTCACATGGTAGTGGAACAACAGAGTCAAAGGCATGGCGACAGCTGAGTCGCACCTCTAAAACCACCACATCGGTTGAAAGATTCTGATTCTTCGTTTTATTTGTTACTTTAATTTATTTGTTTTTTTCTTGTTGAGTGGGATTATAATGCTCCTTCGAGGGTTTTCCGGTTCTTTCCCTTGACGCTTTTATTGAACCGGCAAGACTAGTAAGGTTTTTCTTTTCCTATAAATAACCATGTATCTAGCTTAAATCATAACAAGAAAAAAGATTAGTTCTCTCATAGCCCATTTCCTCTATTCTTCCTAACCGTAGTTGTTTTATGTCTTGACTTCTTCTCTCTTTCTGTACTGTTGAATAGTGCTGGTGTAATTTTCGCTATATAGACCTAGAAGAACTAATTAATTTTAATTGATTCGGAAATATAATTAAAAGAGAAAATTAGTAGACATTAATTTAGATAATTTAATTTGGGAAATTTACAAGTAATTTGAACTTTAGAAAAAATAAAAGTATATTTGGAATAAAATAGTCTAAGTCAAAAAAAATTAATAATAATAAAGTAATTAAAAATAATTATTTCAATATTAATTTGGAATCCAAGAGATTAAATTTATTTTGAGACTAAGTAGTTAAACTGGGCCGAACCCAATAAGATTTATATTAAACACGCTAGAACCCAACTTTGTCAACAAAAAGTGAAGTCCCATAATTAGAATGCAAGGGAGGATGTTAGAGTAGATGACTTAGGCCTTGTTAAGAGATTAGCGGTTAAGTTTGGCTAACATGAATGGCTGGTTAAGTTGTTGTTTTGACTGTAGTAGCTGTTAAGAAAAAAATGTTTGGCTGTTCACAATTAGATATTTGCACTCCCTCCTTCCAGAAATAATCTTCCCATTCTACCTTTTAACGATAATTAACACACAGACTACCCAAAATACCTCAACCGAATTACTCTCTTTTTCTTTCTTCCTCTCTTTTCTCGACCAGATCTGCCCCTCTATTCTCTTCACCTCCTCCAATTCTTCTTCCATTCTTTTTCTTCTCTTCTTTTTTTCCCCTTCATCCTCTTCTTCTCTCCCCCCTCTTCTCTTTCTCACAAATCGGCTCCTCCTTTTTCTTCTTCTTCTCCCCCTTCTTTCTCTTGTCTCCCAACTCTACCAGATTTGCAGCAGATCTATGTTTGTATCGTAATCTTCTTTGTTTTTCTCTCCTCTTTTTCCTCCCTTTTTCATCTTTTTTCTTTCTCCCTGATATAGCGATGGTGACAACAGGACGATAGTAGAGAAGACAGTGACGGTGGGCTGGGACAATGGTGTTGGGGCCTGACAAAGACGATGCGCTGGCAGCGACGTGGGGATGGAGCGATGGTGGTGGGATGTGGAAAAATAAAGATATCGAACACAAAACAAACCTAACATTACGATGAGAGAGATCAGAGTACAAACGATAACCATAGAACTCGTGCATATAGATGGAGCATGACATGTAAATGAGGGAATGCTTAATTGAAAATTCCATTTGCTACAATAAGGGAAAAGGCAAAAGTATCAGAGTGCAAGGACGAGCGAAAGGGCAAAAAAAAAGGAATTACTCTCTATAGCTGAATGCCTGAATGGAAACACTCCTCCCGATGGCTTTTCAAATTTCAACCTTTTGGACCTAAAAGCCAAGTCAAAAAGCTACTATCTAAATATTTACTGTGGCTTGTTTGACTAAACAAATCAGATATGTACTCAAACAACTAAATATTGGTTGAGAAGTCGTTTTTCAAACATGGCCTTGATTTGAAACCCATGAGCATCACTAGGCTAAATAGCTTTTTTAGTGTCAAATAGTCTAGCAAAGTTTGTGCAGTTTAATGTCTTGTTAGCTATTTTTGATGTGTTTTCTAGCTCATTAACACATACTCTTTCCATCCCAAAACTAACTTTCTAGTTTGACTGGAATTCATTAATAAGGGAGTGTAAATACAAAAATCTAGCATATCTAACAAATTAATTCGCACATGGATTTTCCAAAAAAAACCACATGGACATGAAAGGAGAGAGTGAATCGACATAATTTGTTCTTTTCGACGCAATTATTGCGGATTGGCATCTCATTTCCAGCAACAAGTTACCGGCGCAGAAATGAATGAAGGCACAAATTTAGATCTCAAATTTTTGTGTATAATCTTTGCCTTTTCGCTGGGTGATGAATTGGTTCTTCTCCTCTAAAATATATCTAAGAAAGAGGAGCCTTCCCAGAAAAAACATGAGTTCAATTGGTAATCCATGGAGACAGCAACAATAACTTAGTTATACTCAGAGACGACAACAAAGAAGGGTTGCTTGAGCTGCGATAATACTTTGAGACAGGAATGATTGTTTGAGAGGATGGGAGAGAATAGAAACGGTGACGAAAGGATTAGGGTAAGGATTTAGATAAATTGATGGAGGCATTATTGTCATTTAACAAGTTAAAATATGTCATTTTAAGTAATAGGAAGATAGTTTAAGCATTAACCAAAATGAATAGTGAGAAGATAGTTATAAGATAGAGAGAGTATATTATTAGCATTTGATGATATGATTATCCTAAACTTTGAATTATTTTCCAAAAATGTGTGTAATGGTTTTGTTCTACTCCTTTGCTTTACTCATCATTTAGCACAAAAATTGTGTTCTTTTCCAACTCAAATTATCTATTTATAGCATTGTTAAGTTGTCTTAATCACTCATGTTTATGAGACTTGAGTTTCACATGTAAATAATACCATTCCAAAACTTCTTATTTCTTCACCATTCCTGTGCTAAAACTTGCATGAGAGTTTGCTTATATTCTCTTCATATAAGCCACGAATCTCCTGAGTGCTTTTCATCTTATTTTCATCCCAAATCTATAACCAAATGGTCTTGAGAATATATCAAGCCTAGAGTCCGCTCAGAGCTTTCAAATGGTAAGGGTTTCCTTCAAGAAAATCTTATGTTTTTCTTGAGACAAGTTCGGTTGTTCTAAACAAACTTTTCTCTATAGCTTCTTCAAAAGTTTAAAGGTTATGTAGAAATAAAATCCATGTTAAGAATCATGTTAAGAAAACTAATAGCTTTTTCAAGAGTTTTAAGGGTAAACTTAAAATCATTCTCCCATGTCTTATTTCCTGGATCATCTGGAAAGCTTATAATAAGAGCAAATATGAAAACAAGCACCCTAAGAGTACTCAAACTATCCAAGCAACACTTTATCAAATACTCCCACCGTTCAAGAAAACAATTCATATTTTGACTAATGAGAGAAATAAGGAGTGTATATTTGTAATTGAGTTTCCAATTTTACCCTTGATGTGATAGATTATCAGTGAAAAAGTATGATGTGATATGCAGTGTAAGAAAAAATAGGGGTAAAAGTGGTTTTTTAATAAAAAGTGGAAGTGTTTTGCTGGAAGAGAAAAAAATGAAAGAGAAAAAAATGAAAAAGAAAGTGTTTTGGTGAACGGAGAAAGTACAAGTATGGAGCTGGATGAACAGAAATAAAAATGGGATGTTTCAAGATGAGGACTTCAGAGGTTAGGGTCTACACCAATTCTCGCGCAATGGCCAGATGTTGCTCCAGATTAGCTGGTTGTTGCCGACATCTCTTTCCTATTTTATGTTGCTTATATTTTGTCTTTTCATTGTTTGATTTGTCTGTTTGGGCTGTTTTGTGGGGTGGCCCGCCCCCTTCTTGTTTGTACTATCCCCTTTTATTCAATGAAAGTTTAAAAAAAGGTTGTGTAGTACTTTAAGAAATGATTTTGAACTTACATGAATGTTTTATAAAAGATTATTGATAAAATTTAAGATGGGGTAACGTTAAAAGATTGAATGCAATTGATTATTGAATTTACCTCAAGAGCTTATATACGCATTATTTTCTATTTGAACTTCAAATGTGGGATACTCTAAACACTTCCCCTCAAGTGAAATTCCGGGTCATTTTGAATCTTACCGGTTGACGACTTACAAATAGATTTAGATCCTTCAGAAATGAATATTTGAGCAGATGCCACTACAAGAATTTCTGCAAAAAGAAGTGGAAAGAGCCCCTCTTTAAAGCAAAATTCCACGAAGTTGCAAAATTCCACGAAGTTTTAGCAGTGACTTAGCGGCGGAACACAATTCACTGCTAATCAGAGGGCTACTATTTTTAGCAGGAGAATAATCCGCCGCTAATTTAGAGGGGGAATAGTCCGCAACTAAAGAAAATGGTTACGAATCTAATTCAAAGTAACTCTTACTTGTTGCTACTTACATCTAAGCATAATCGACAAGGCATATTCAAGAACATCATAAACTCTAATGAGATCTTGATTCCCCTGCCAAGAACATGTCAAAGAGTAGAAAAATGATAATTACAGAGTATTATGCTAAATAACAGAAAATGAAGTTGAATTGACTAAAAAACCATGAAAAGTATTGAATTTTTTTCTTTTATATGTAGATAGAGAGGTAGCATTCAAAAAAAATGACCAACTTCACCAAAGAATAAAACTTTATAGAATAGAAAGAGAAAAGGGGAACATTCAAGTAAAGAGAGAAAATAAATACTGAGTAAGTTCTTGACAAAATTTGATAGAAGTATTCCACATTTGTATCAATTATGTAAGCTAAATTCAATTGTGGCCATTTGTAAAAAAAAGTAAGGTTAGCAAGATAAAAAACGCCTTAATACACACATTTTAGCAACAAATACACAATTCAAACTCAGACGGAGTACTTGATTTCAAAACGATTCAAGCTCATATTGATTTAAAAAATTAACAAAACATAGTTGCTAAACACTTCTTTGAAACTCAAATATAAGATAACACTGTGTTTGTTTGGAGGTAGGGAGAGGTAGAGGGAGGTAAAATTAATATTCTACCTTGTTTGGTAACCAAAATTGAGATATGTCAAGTGAGGTAGGGAGAGGTAGAAGGAGGTAGGATTACCTCTTAACAGTGCAATTTATATGACCGCCGAATCTGCGAATTATCGCGGTAGGCAGCTGCCCTTCACTTCCGATCTGCTCTGCTCCTCAATTCCGATCGCTGCATAGTTAATTTTTTTGTTTCAATTTCAATCGCCATCTGCTCCTCAATTCCTATCGCCGCTGCCCTTTTTTCCTCACTTTTTTCATTCTACTCTACCGCCTTTACCTACTTCAATCTTCAATTTTGGACTTTTTACAATTTTCAATTTCCAGTTTTTAATTTGCTCTGTGTACTACTACAATTTTCAATTTCCAGTTTTTAATTTGCTCTGTGTACTACTACAATTTTCACTTTTTTTTAAGTTTCCAGCTTTCTTTCACTTTTTTTTCAGTTTTTGATTTTTTTGTTTACCTTTTTCAGTTTTCGTTTCTCATCTTTTTTTCTGTTTTTTTTGTGGTTTTTAGTAATTTAATAATTTTATTTCCACAAGGATATATTAATAATTTTATTCTTTTCTTACCTCACGTTACCTAATAAGCATCCAAACACAATTTTTTAACTCATTACCTTACTTTACCTACCTTTAATTACCTACTTTCAATTACCTAGCATTACCTACCTAATAAAACTTTTACCTACCTCCAACCAAACATACCCTAAATGAAACTGCCCTAACACATAATTTGAGCAGTAAAACTAATCTGAAACACATTATTTAAACCAAATAAAATTTCCCAAAAGTAGAAATTCCAGAACTTGGAAAGAGTGGAAATATAAAACCTCTTCAATTGAGATGGAGGAACCGGCGGAAGCCCCGGGAAGGCGGCGGCAAGGTTTTAACGGCTGGGATGGAGGTGCCCACGGCGGTGGCAAGGCTATGACGATTGGGATTGAGATGCAAGTAGCGGCAGACCTGGGACGGTGTGTGATGCAGTCCGGCGGTCGCGGATGCCTTTGGCGACGGCGAGGAATTAGGCTGCAACAAGCATGGCCTGGTACACCAGGCGGAAATTAGCAATCAAGTGGAGCTGTATCTAGTCAAACCAGATGCGTTTGAGAATTAATTCCCACGCAGGGAAGGTTTTTAGAATATCTCTTTGGCTACCAGCCTACCACGGTTTTAACGAAAAAAAATTTAAAAAAATAGGCTTTCACAATGCCGTTTTAAATAATAGAAAAAAAATATCTAATTCGGCTTTTATAAAGCCGATTTTAGTACATTATAAAAAAAATCAGCTTTCATAAAATATGATGCAGTATATAATTTGTTTAAAAAAAATCTCAAGCAACGGAAATTTAATAAAGAAATGTTCATTAAGAAAAAGTAAAATAAATCATTTAAATAAAGGGATTGGACAAATCCAATTTTAAACAAAAAATCTAAATAATTTTCATAAACCTTTTTTTAAACGAATATTAGGCAATATTGAAAACATAAATATATTAAAACATCAACATAAAATTACATTCTCAACATATCAAGTAAACAAGAATTACAATACATTGTCTGTTAAAAACAAAATAATATTAAACTAAAATCATCTCCTTGCCCTGAAATCCATCTCGCCCTGGTATCAATTGTGTTGACGTCTCCCTGAACGTGGAATCTCATCTGCTGGATGTTTGGGAGGTAGAACTTTAAAGCTGCCAACATCCAAATTTTGAGGGAAAAGAACAGGTTGAATTATACCACTATAACAACTCAAATAGTTTTGAACCGAGTACCTAGCCGGTAATATGTTGTGAGAAACTTGTTGTCGAAAAGAGTGGTAAACAGCATGAACATGAACACAAGGTATACTATCGGAAGTCCACTGCCCACAAGTGCATACACTACTAAACAAGTTGACCAAGTAGCTGTAAATAGAAGAAGGATCTGTTCGAGATGTGTGAGTCACTACGTATTGGTTGTTACCGTAGCTTGAGATTGTCCACTTGTGCTTAGTTTTCTCCCGATTAAGGAGAACATTTTTTATTTTCAGAGTAATGTGCATGCTCTGTTGTTTCCACTGAATACCAAGCTTGTACCTTTTAGCAAACAATTCAAACATCTTGGCATAGGACATGCATAAAAATGGCAGTGACAGGTAACTTTCGACAACCTTTCAGCATATTATTGAAACTCTTAGAACTATTTGTCGTTAAGATACCACACCTAAACCCACCATCAAAACAAAGGGTCCATGCCGCACGGGGAATATCATTTAAATACTTGTATCCCTCCTCACTCATGTTTCGTATTTCAGCCATATATCCTTCAAATTATTGGATATTATGTGTACTACCAGCTGCCCAAACCAAATTTACATTAAAATCTCACAAGTATCTCACAAAATCAATTGGTGCGTACATACCCAAAGAATCTGGAAATAATAAACCACACATATATGCATATATGAGCCTAGCGGTATATTGAGCCAACAACTCATCAGGCCATTCATTATTTGGTTGATGCATTTGTGCCTCAAAAAGAAGGGCAATCTTGAATTGGTCATAACGACCAAAATGGGTGTCCTCGGTGGTCCACATCAAAACATCTCTAAATAAGGCATTCCGTTGCTTAATATTTAAATCAAAGCCCATGACGGGAAGTCCATCAATCGGAAGTCCTAGTAAGCATTCCGCGTCTTGTATGGTGATACCCATCTCACCGAAAGGAAACTAAAATGCGTGTACCTCCGGTCTCCAACGCTCCACAAGAGAAGTGATTAGACCATGGTCTAACCGGATAGGTTCCACACGGTGCACTCCATAAAACCCTGACCGGTGCAACATTTCAGAGACTCTATCATCTTGAAAAACCGTTGGAAGACTACCTTCGTAGCAAACCGGAGAGACTTTGTTGTCTATAAAACCTGGGTTATGCCACACTTTATGTGAACGATGTTTAGCTTATAAAGTAGGAATGTCTCTCGATCTAGGACCCACTATTTTTCTCTCAGGGTCATACATTATGCTTCAAAAAAACTAGTGAACTTCTATCTACTCATAGTACAACAAAATCGTTAAAAAATATCTTGTTTAAAAAATATGCATTACATATTGTAAAATTAAAAAAAATGCATTACATATTGTAAAATTAAAAAATATATGATTACATATTTAAAAAACTAATAAAGAATTATTCCAAGAAAACATACCTCAACTTTTCGGATGATTATGGAAGAATAGATAAATTTTGAATATTTATTGAGAAAAGAAGGGAAAGAATATGAGATATAGTTGAAGAGATTATGTTTTTGTGTTAAAAAAAGGAAAAGAATTGATTATTAGTAGTAGAATTGGGAGGGGTGGTAGTTGAAGGGATTAGGTGTGGGAATGGGGAGGGATTATTTGTTGTAGAACCGAGAAGAGGAAGGGAGGGGGATCCGCGTGCACTGTAGCACAATTATGTCCGTGCCCTGTAACACTGAAACAGCATGCCAAAAGCCGAAATTTAAAAAAAATAAAAAAAGAAACGACTTTAAAAAAGCCAAAAACCGAAAAAAAATCAAAAATAAAATTGAAATGCCAAAAGTCGATTTTCCTTGCCAGGAATTTACCTTTCCAACCGAGAATTATATTAGAAAAACTTTCCCTCCTAGGGAAACCACCCTGCGTTTGATCGGAAAAAGAAGGTAGTACAAAGCAGCCGGAAGCAGATCTGCTAAGGTGATGGTGGAGGTAGCGATGGTGACGTGATAGTGGAGAAAGTGATTCTACAGCACGGTTCATGGGGAAGTGGCTGATATAGAAATTTTTACAACAACAACAACAACAACCCAATTAAATCCCACAAGAGTAGGGTCTGGGGAGGGTGTGTGTACGCAGACCTTGCCCCTACTCGAAAGTAGAGAGGCTGTTTCCAAAGAGACCCCCGGCTCAACGTCGAAAGTTGCATTGCTTGACTAACTGCTACTTCATGAATTAAAAAAGCGCAGACAGTTTAGAGATCCATTTTGATTTATTCCATCACACCCCAAAGCCAAAAAATGGTGAAATTTTGGCTCCATCGAAGATGATATAGACATTTTTAGTCCGAAATAATTCAGCATTTGGATGAGGGAGAAGAAGAAGTGTTGGAGATTGATTTTAAACTAAGTGGAATGAATGAACGGTACTTTAGTTGAGAACGAACACTACTTTATTTGAGAATGAGTACCACTTTGTTTCAGAATGAACACTATGTTGTAAATGAATATTATAATTATATGAAATAATTGTATGAAAATGAGTATTACATTATTTAGAATGAGTATTACGTTATTTCAAAATGAATATAATGTTATTTCAAAATGAACATTTATCTTTGTGCAAGAATGAGTACTACTTTACTTTAAAATAAGTACCACTCGGGTGTACTTATTTCTAGGTACAGTCGGCTATACCATATACCTTCTCAAGTGCCAGGTCGCTTAATCTATGCTACGTAATAAAAAAGGGGTTGGGCTATACACTTGTACTAAAATATACTCTCGTGTACTTTTTACCCCTTTTTATATTGAAATTGTGTCTAACTAAAAATAATTTTAAATATAATTAAAACCAGAGTCGTTTTATTTTTATCAGTCTGGTAGGTTGAAAAGAACAAGCCCCAAGTCGTTTTATTTGTTATACTCCCTCCGTCCAAAAATTTATTTCTCAGTTTGAAAAATTAAAAAGTGTAAAGACTTTCTATTGTCCTTCTTGCGATTGAATTAAGTGAATAATGTAGATGAAAAATAGGGATATAATGTCACATTCACTAAAAGTTTTTTGCCAAAATATGAAACGGGTAAGAAATTTTTAGATGGTCCAAAAAAAGTAAGAAAGAAATTAATTGACGGAAAAAGTATGATATTAGCGGGATCGTTGGATCGTTATTCTCACGTTTTGTTATTTCATATTAGTGGGAAAAATGTATGCCGCTTTTATGAATTTATCCTTCTATTTACAAGAGCAGCAGGAAAAAAATCTCGCCTAAAACTCTGGGCAGGTACTGTAGCTTTGGGCCGTTTTTTTGCAAATCTAGGGTTTCTGGGCCTGTTAAATTATTCGGTATAAAATTGTAACATGTTTTAAACCCGTTAAAATACTATGATACTCAGTCCAAGCTTGCAATTCGTTTTTTATGATCATGTATACTTATTAATAAAATTCATGAATTTAAAATTAAATAAATACCACAAATGCATGTTTTAAAAAAAACCTGGAAATATAATAAATAAATACCACAAATGTTTTTCCGATTTTATTACTATTATTAATTCTTTTCCTCCTACTGCAAATATTATAAAATAATAATCAGTTAGAAAGGAAAAATAAAAAAATGAAAAAACTCCCAACCACTACCACATGTCTCATCCATTACACCTATTATTAAATTTATTTTAAAAAAATCAGCCCACTTCCATCCCACTTCCCGTCTTTTGTGTGGTGGAACTTCCCCACTCTCCCTGCTGCCACTTGCATATATAAATTGCAGTAGTGAGCCAGTTTTTCTTCATCACAATTTCAAAAATTCATTTCTCCCAGCCCTACAAAAATAACACACAATGTCAGATGAACCGAGTGCAGAAGGTGGTCTATGGTGGGATTTAAAAGATTTGGACGATAAAAAGAACGACTAGGCAATTTGTGTTCGGGCTGTTCGGGTTTATGATTTGCCCACCCGCAATGGAAGGCCAAATACAATGGAAGTAATTTTTCATGACTCAAAGGTAAACACTTCGAATCATCCTACAATTTGCAATGAGGCAAAGTTTCTCTAATTTGAAGCTAACCTATTTCATTTTCTTTGCAATAGGGAAAAAGGATTCACGCCCAGATTAAGAGGCCTGAAATAAAATACTTCAGACCAAAAATCAAGGAAGGGTTTGTTTGTGCCTTAAAAAATTTCTTGATTGCAAATAACTATCACGGTTTTAAGACAACGGACCACCCTTTCATTCTGTCTTTATATCGAGAGACTCAATGGAAAGACATCAATGCCTATCGGTTTCCAAGTTTCATGTATAACTTCTGTCCTTTTGAGAAGCTGTTGGAACCTTTGAGACAGAATATGCTGACTGGTAAGGATTAACAATTCAAAATGTTTTTAATACATTTTTATAAAGAGTAAATAAGTTATTATTATTTTTTAGATGTCATAGGAAAAGTAATTGCAAGGACTGGAATTCAAAGCCGAATGGTTCTCGGGAGTCCAGAGAGATTTATGGAGCTTACTTTGGAAGATGCAAGGTTATGTTATGTCCTAATATAATGTTCATTTACCTAGATTTTATTTCTAATGTATTGCTACATATATTTGGTTTTATAGGGGACAAAACCTACGTTGCACCCTTTGGGGAGACTACATTGAGAAATTCAATGAATCAGTCGGTGGAGGGATAACTAATCCAATTCTTATAGTGAAGTTTGGCCGACCGAAGGAATTCATGAGTACAATCCTACACTACCCTTCTGGTGAATATAACAATATATTTTATTTCATTACACCTTTTAAAAACAATTTCTCTGTTGAAGAAGAGGTGTCTATTTCAACGTCATTCCATGTGACAAAACTTATCCTAGACAATGATTATGAAGAGGCTAAAGAATTTTGAAGGCTTTCAAGAATGGGGACGAGGATAGCAGGTCTTCAAGTGCGTTCGCACTCACCTAGAGTAGTGAAGTGACAGAAGATACAATTGCAAACTTGAAAATTTCAAGTATCAAAAATCTACTTGTTGAAACCGAGGTTAACCACTAAACATTTTTCGAAATTATTTTTAATTGGTCGAATTGCTTTAATGGTGCTTATTACTTCTCTATTACAAGATGGGTATTTTTGGGTCATGGCTAACGTTGTTTCTGTGGAAAACTACAAAGATTGGTATTACTTGGCCTGCAACAACAAGACTTGTAGCTGAAAGGTTGAGAGAGACGGAGATTTTTTCCGTTGTGGACAGTGTGCTATAACAATGACGTTCGTTGAATACAAGTAAGAGTTGTTTTAAAACATTGTTAATATTGAACGTAATCATCAGTAGGGAATATAAGTCTATAAAAAACTAAGTTATAAAATTCTTCTTAAAATTTATATAGGTACAAAGTTACAGTCACATTGAAGGATGAAACTGGTCATGCAACATTCATTTTGTGGGATTGAGAGTGCAAAGAGATTATGGGAATCCCAGCTTCAAAATTGAGAGATATCATGATCGAGGTATCGCATAAATACATTCATTTGTGGCTAAGAAAACCACTACGGTTTCATAAGCAGACGTTTTTATTTTCATGATACCATAAAGACATTGATGAATTATTTTCGCAGCGAACGGGCGATGACAACGACTTTCCACAGGAATTAGAAACACAAGTGCTTACCAAGAGTGGATTGTTTAAGACTGTTTTGCGAAATGCTTCATACTATCAAAGGTACCTAACAGGACCAAAGATAATTGCATTGTATAAGCCAGCAGTTGAGGAGACAAAAGAGATTGATGGGTGGAGCGGATATGAATTTGGATTTCTTAACAAAGAAAAGGTATGGTTCTAATTTTACTCAAGTTTGGGTAAAATTTGTGGCAAGAGTATTTAATAAAAATATGCTTTATGATTACGCACAGATTGGGTCTAGCAAATTAATAATAGAAATGGAAGCAAAAGGAAAGCAAAAATCAGTGACAGTGTATGAAGAAGATGAAGAGGGACATTCACTAATGGATGCAGGGTCTAGTAGCAAGGCAAAGAAGAAGGCTAAAATCGCATGGCGTGGATGATCTAAGAGAAAGCTTAATTTGTGTCTCAAATTTTAAGTTTCATCTACTTTAATTCGCAGTAGTGTCTAAAATAACTTATCCATTAATTTGTTTGAGTACTGTGTTCAACATACTTCAAACAAATTTGGGATTGTTTGTCTTTTATCTATTCCTTGAAATTTCCTTCTAACGAACATTATAGGTCGTTTGGTCTGTTTATGTGGTGTTCGCAGTCATGTTGTTTTACTTATGTTACTCTATCGCGTGTGTTTCTTTCAATAAATGGATGTTGTTCTAATTTGCGTTCGTTATGTGTATGTACGTGCTTTACCTTAATTTCCTAAAGAAAGGAAAAACATTAACTCTTGGTAATCTAACGTATTACAATGCCTTTTGAGCCCTTAATGAAAAAAGAGTACAAGTCCAATTAAAAATATAGTTGTTTAAGTTTAGAAAAATATAAGTTAGAAAAAAATTGATATACATTTCAATTTTATATACAAAATTTAAAGTAACATTTTTAACAAATACTTTATACAATAGAAAAGTTAATGTAAAAAAAATAATTATCATTAATAAAAAGTAAATAACGATGCTTTTTTTTAATAACTAAATAACTTCAAGTGTATATGAAAGACTTATTACACTTTAAAAATATTACTTTTTAAATAAAATTAAAAAAGAATAGAGAATGACTTCGGTTTTAAGACACATTTTAGAAAGCAGAAATTCATATTTCTGTATGAAAAATTATAATGTAATTTTGAGAATATTTTTTTTAAAAAATAAAGTAAGGACTTGTCCCATCGGTTGGATACACAGTGTATATTTTTCGCTGTCTAAAGTTAGACAGTGGATATTTATATGCTATTTAAAGTCGCTATTTATTTTTAAAAATATTATTTTAGACTAGCTACTACGCAGTACAATAGTACATGCACACACTTTTTTTATTTAGCGATTGTAATTTTTAACAATATACATACATAGTATATTTTAACAAAACAATAAATTTTATTACATGAGAAAAAAAAACATAAATAGTACAACCCTGACACATAAACTCAAACGAATGCATGTGGATGAAGGTGTAGAATCAAGGGTATTGTATAAATTTACAAAATAACTTCAAAGCTACAGAAGCAACTTCAATTCCTTGAATATATTGACTCAACAATTTTTGGCACTTCCACAAAAAAAACTTCACATGGCGAAAAAAAGAGTCTCCATTCCTGCAATCCACCAAGATGCTCAAAATCAACTGCATATTCACTTGAAAGATGAAACATATTCACTAGAAGAAAGAAAAAATATAAAAAATGCATGAATTCAATTACTTATAAAATGTAGTTTTCACTTAAATATTTAAAAAAAAATTACGAGGCCTTGCCTCAATTTATAATAGAATTTTTATTCTAATTAAGTGAATTTCACTACTTGAATAAGTAGAACCTGTGAAAACCTTGCAACATTTGATGAAAGAGTGTGGACACCATATTTCAGTAGACATATGTGCATACCTGCATCAACAAGTACAACATGAAGAATAATTATTTTCTACAAATAATAACGGAGGACTAAGCCTCGTATAAATAGTACAAGGGAATCCTAAGTACAGAAGGAATCCTATACAGGGAAACTACCATATAAACAATGATTACATCCTTAATATTAAATATATACATACTATATTTAACATGCGCCCAGCTACGTGACCGGTGATGGTCGAACGCCGAGATTGTGTATGAACTTGGAAAATATGAGGGACGGAAGCCCTTTGGTGAAAATGTCAGCATACTGAGAAGAGGAGGGAACATGCGGAACTCGAACATGACCAAGGACAACTTTATCTCTAACAAAGTGAATATCGACCTCAACATGTTTGGTGCGCTAATGCTGGACGGGATTAGACGAGAGGTATACAGCACTGACATTGTCACAGAAGACCAGTGTAGCACGTCGAAGAGGTTGATGAAGCTCAAGAAGAAGATTTCTGACCCAGCTAGCCTCAGGTACTGCATTTGCCACGGCGCGGTACTCGGCCTCAGCACTAGAGCGAGAAGTGGTGGCCTGTCTCCTGGAAGACCAAGAGATGAGATTGTCCCCGAGGAAAACACAATACCTAAATGTGGAGCGACGAGTGTCGGGGCATCCTGCCCAATCAGCATCCGAATATGCATGTAAGGAATCTATGCTAGTGCGGTGAAGAGTGATACCATGGGTGGCGGTGCCGTGGATGTAGCGCAGGACCCTTTTCAAAGCCGTGAGATGAGAGCTGCGGGGGGCATGGAGATGAAGACAGAGCTGCTGTACGACATAGGTGAGATCGGGACGGGTGAATGTCAGATAGTGTAAGGCCCCGACAATGGATCTGTAGATGGTGGGGTCCGGAAGTGGTGTGCCGGACATGGCTGACAGCTTCGTCTTGGTGTCGACCGGGGTGGAGATAGGCTTACAGTGAAGCATGTCAGCCCGCTCAAGGATCTCGTGTGCAAACTGAGTCTGATGAAGAAAGAGTCCCCCACCAGTGCGCTGGACATTGATGCCGAGAAAAAAATTTAGATCCCCCGTATCCATCATGGAAAACTCCCCCTTAAGCTGCTGAGTGAGGCATGTGAGGAAAGCGGTGGAAGAGGCTGTGAGAACAATGTCGTCCACATAAAGTAGAAGGTAGGCCATGTCAGTTCCCCGGGAGTAGACAAAAAGAGATGTGTCGCTCTTGCAACCTCGGAACCCCAAAGTGAGAAGGAAACCTGCAAATCGCTGGTACCAGGAGCGGGGGGCTTGCTTAAGGCCATACAGGGCCTTCTTCAACCTGCAAACATAATTCGCCTAGGCTGGATCCTGAAAACAAGAAGGCTCGCTAGCATAGACTGTCTCGTGGAGTGTGCCATTCAGGAAAGCATTCTTGACATCTAGTTGATGGATGGACCAACCCTGACTGAGTGCAAGAGTGAGAACAATGCGTACCGTGGCAGGTTTGACAACGGGATTGAAAGTCTCGTCGTAGTCGATTCCAAAGCGCTGATTAAATCCACGAACCACCCATCGAGCTTTGTACCTTGATAGTT